TTGATCGCCTAGTTCGTGTTATCTCGGTACTACTACTAATACTTTTTCTTCTTGTTTGTCGTGTCTAATAAATTACTAGGAAGCCATAGTCCGTCATCCGTTATTTTACCTTTTCAGACGCGATCATCATCGTTTAAAATGAAAATTTCTTTTGAGTAGAGCATACTCGCATCGTATTCTAATCGATCGACGGACCCCATACTAGCTTATTAACAATTTTCTGTCCTTTGTTCCAGCGTATTTAACAAGCTCTTTACAAGATCGCTTTGAAAATATATACATAGGTAGTTGCTCTTCTGTTAGTTGCTTGGCCAACGTGTTATGTGACGAGTAGAGTTTTCCTGTCTGCGGGTTTATTTTTTCTCTCCTTGTATTTTTTTCTCTTTTCTTTTTTTCTTTTTCCTTTTTTTGTTATATCAAAGTTAAAAATAAGAGTGCTTTTAGAAAATCATGGACACTCGAGAACTAACGCTTTGCTAGCTTTCAAAGATGGTGAAACAGACAGACAAACAGAGAGAGAGAGAGAGAGAGAGAGAGAGAGAGAGAGAGAGAAAGAGAGAAAAGAAAAAAAGATGAACCCACGGAAAAATACATATTTTCGTGCGGACGGTTCAAGCAAAACTTCAAACGTTTCCGGAGTGCTATCTGCTAATTCACAGATGCACGCAACTGCGTTTCAGCGTTTTATCTCGGAAGATACGTTGAATGGAATTCCCTGTTTCACGAATGCATACTATACTATTCCTCTGTCTATCTTTCTCTTTCTCTATTTCTCATTTTTCTCGCTCATTTTCCTCTGTTTCTCTATCTCATGCATTTTCTACGTCAAAATAAAAGTTGTACGTTTCGATTCCCGCCACATCTATGCGATCGTAACTTTCGAGTCTATTTGAAATTTCGTTTCCAGTCACCGTTATGTACTACCTATCTCTCGATCGAAATTTACTTTCCTTTTATCTCTCTCTCTCTCTCTCTCTTTCTTTTTTTTTTCTTTTCCTTTTCTCGTCGATTCATGGCACCTGCTTACTTACATCAGAAATCAGATTTATTCAAGCTTGCGTCGTTTACGCCCTCAATTCTTCTTCTTCTTTACCTCCTTCTCCTCCTTCTTCTCTTGCTTACTGCCATAAATTTCGATACTTCGTACGAATCGTTAAACATATTCGATTCTTTTCGAATTTCGCGCGTCGCTCGCCAACAACCCACCCCCGTCCCGACCCCGATTGCAGTTAAATCGAACTCGTGATAGAGGAGTTATAAGGAGTATGATCCGATATATTCGCGTATACATCGTAAAAAGATTTTCCATTACGGTTTCAAATGGTGGAGATTCGAATTCGTAAAAATAAAGTACGGGGATGGGGTTCGTGTTGGACGAATGGGGTGGGTTGAAGGAGAGAAAACGGACTGTGGTTTAAAACGAACGTTCGCTTTTCTCTTACGAAGGGAACTTCTCGATAATACGGCGATCAAGTTTCTTCAGTGTCCTGATTTGGGTTATGTTTAAAACTGAACGCTTCGATCAGGAAGTTCTTCGATTTGTTATGAAACCGAAAAGTCGTTTGACTTTCGTGCGTCATTCGATTGGAGAAAAAGAGAAAGAGTGAAAGAATGTTGATGTGTGCGTGCGTGGTGTATTAACGTATGTATGTGCGAGAAAGAGAGAGAGAGAGAGAGAGAGAGAGAGAGAGAGAGAGAGAGAGAGACAAGGATGGAAAGAGTCATTTTTTTCGGGTGTTTCAAATGTTAATTTTCGTTCAGACGCGCGTACTCGATTATCCTCCTTCTTATTGTATTTTATTTTTCTTTTTGTTCCTATCGAATCATAAAATCAATATAAAAGCGAAACGGTACTTTTTATCGTCGATGTTCATCGACGATAACTTACTTATTTTGAAGACTGCACTACCTCATAATCGTCATGTCGTCAAACGTATCTTAAATAACAATTCTTCTTCTTTATCGTTTCCCTCCCTCCTTCCCCGTGATAATTTATCCTTCACGAGTCTTTAAATATCTTCGGAACGTAGGAAAGCCAAACAACGGAAATTGGAAACTGTTAAATGGTACATAAATATGTAAAATGAAAGAAATAGAATGACGGGAGAAACAATTATAAATAAGATTTATGGATTAACGAGGTTATCTAGAATAATATTTATTTATATTACGTATGTATATAAATATGCTTACGTATATTGTACAGATAAAATTTCTTTGTATTTCGTTCGTAATGTTTATCGAATTCGATTCAATTATTTTCTCGATTCTTTTCTTTTTTTATGATTCGCGATTTAGATTGAATCGTCGTAAGAAATATTCCTCTTAAATAATGTTTTGAAACATTGAGAATACAAAAAAAAAAAAATCGAATCTTTTCGCACATCTCCATATATATATCTAGATATAAGCATATTGTTAAGCTTACGTACATTTAAATAAAAATAAAGAATAAATACATTTAACGTGTTATAATAAACAAACGAGAAATTTTTCTTGAAGATATTTCGAATGTCAATGAAACAATGGAGGGTATATATATATATATATATATGTGTATATATAACGGGGATAGATATAGGATATTTCGTAGGGGTAGTCTTCCCTCTCAAGAGGGAAACACCGTAGAAACATCGAAACAGAGGACAAAGCGATGAAAACGTAGACTTTTCTCTCGTGGATGCCGCTCGCGCTGACACACAAAGTCCAATGCGCACGTCGTTGCTGGATCGAGTAAGAGATGCTTCTAGATGAAAAGAGAGACGATGATAGTACCTATATATGTAGTATTACAGATCTTTCTCTCTTACTCTCACTCCCTCTCTCTCTCTCTCTCTCTCTCTCTCTTTCTCTCTCTCTCTCTCAGGGCTCGTTTCGTTCGTTTTATGTGTTCACGAGAGAATGAGGAGAATGCTATAGTCTCTATCTCCTTTCCTATTCTATTTTACTCTTCGTTTCTCTCACCGGAGTTGGGAAATACGAAAAGGAAAAATAAACGTGAAATGAAGAGAAGGGGATGAAGCGATACAGAAAGAGAAAGAGAAAGAAATAAATATATATATATATGTATATATATATATATAGAAAGAGAGAGAGAGAGAGGGAGAGAGAGAGAGAGAGAGAGAGAAAGAGAGGGAGAAAGAGAGAGAAGAGTAGAAAACGTTTTGACAGTGAACATCGCTTGTGATTTGAATAAATGAACCGCGTCACGTTTACTGGAGGACGTATGGGAAATACTATGGCAGCAGCCGGTCCACAGCGAGCCATTTCGCTTACGGTCCTTCATGCTATAAGAAACGGGACAGAACATCACGCCTTCTACGGATCTATTCGAAGAGAAAAGGAGAGAGAGAGAGAGAGAGAGAGAGAGAGAGAAAGAGAGAGAGAGAACGCGCTATCTCGACGTGACGAATGAGCAGCTTCCCGAAATCGTCTCTATCTCTATCTTTCTCTCTCTCTCACTCTCTCTCTCTCTTTCTCGCATACACATACTCCCTTTTTATTTCCTAGAAATGTGAAAGAGAGAGAGAGAGAGAGAGAGAAGAAGGGTGCGGAGAAAATCAAGCACGAGATTCGCGCGATTCTCCCTTGGAATTCGTATTTTCCTTAAACTCGAGATTGGCCTTTTCTCTCGTGGACCACTTTGCACGAAGAGAAAAGCGTGCCGTGGCCAAAAGCGAAGCAAAGCTATATGTTCTCTTTTTCTCTCTCCCACTCCTGTTCTTATTTTACCTTCTTTTTTCGTCATCATGATTCGTTCTCTCTCTCTCTCTCTCTCTCTCTCACACATACACACACATACACACACATATATACACTGTCTGTCTCTGTCTTTGTCTTTATCTCAGTCTTTCTGATATAACGTGTTACGTTAGAAATGTAAGAGGATTACCTAGGTATTGTGTGTAACTCGCCCAACTTGGCTCTTTTATTATGTCGGATTCTACGGATAATATGGGTCTATTTTTTGCGCGTGCACTCGAGCCCGCTTTGTCGAGTTTCGATATGAAAGTACAGAAGGTTATATTCGCTTTTATGTGTATTCTCTCTCTTTCTCTATCTCTCTCTCTCTCTCTCTCTCTCCCTCTCTCTCTCTCTCTCTCTCTCTCTTTCTTTCTATCTCTCGTTTTCGCTGGTTTTGTTTTTGTCTCTGACTCACATTAAATTACAAACACGAATGCAAAACACGACGAATTGAAAGCGTCATTGAGAATTTATATCTGTTATCTAAAATTCTTAAAAATTTCGATTAATAAGGAAAGAAAGATATTTTAACGTGTTATTATTAAGTCGTCATTTACTTGTTGCACATATGAAACATCGTTCTTAGTTCTGTGACATTTTGAAAGTTAGTTTAGTCGTTAATCGAAAACTTACTGCACATACAAGGGTTTAGACCATAAAGAGAGAGAGAGAGAGAGAGAGAGAAAGAGAGAGAGAGAAAGAGCTAGTTGCAACGAGATGAGCATACGTGTTCGGTGTATAATACAGTCCCTTCTTGTTTGCAGTTACGCTTCAACGTATGAGGGAAACGTATTATGTGAGGTGAAACTTGCGACGAGGGAAACGAAGATGTCCACGATCAGCGTCGCGACATGGTTACTCGGAGTCGTCGCTCTGACGACGATTAATAATGGTGAGTATAATGATGACAATACGATTTATATTGATCGACCTCGATCATATAATTTTGAAATTCGTTTAATTCTCGATCAATGATCTTTTTCTTGATTGATTCGTATTATTTGCGATTTAATTAAATAACAAGACGATATGTGTTACGCGATGACTATTTATGGTTATATGAACGTTGATCTGAATTAATTGTCTTTTATTACATAATCTTAATGAAATAATTAATTATTTAAATAATTATATAATAGAATCGTAATGACAAAAAGAATCTAATTGGATTTTTTTGGAATAACAAACCGGAAATCTTTCTTTCCCCGTTATATATTTTTTCTCTCCCTTTTTTTTTTCTGTTCTTTTTTTATTCTTTTTTCCCGATAAAACATATAAAAATTGTGCTGAAAAAGGAGTTATCCGACACGGAACAGTAATTCGTGATTCCGAGCTGGAAAAGCTGCCCCGTTCATTAATATGTATGTATAACGGATACATCTGTAAATAATCTAACTTCACTGAGAGTAGCCCCACTGATTTATGCGAAATGGTTTTATACCTTTATCGCCTCGAGAACGTTTTACGGTTAAATAAGAAAGAAACTGCACGTTTTACATTGCAATTTTTTTTCTTCTTCATCATCTTCTTCCTCCTCTTCTTTCTCCACCTCTTCATATTCTTGTTTTTCTTTGTTGCATTATCAACGTAAAGGGGAAAAAAAGGAAAGAAAGAGAGAGAGAGAGAGAGAGAGAGAGAGAGAGAAAGAGAGAAAGAGAAAAAAGAAAGAAAGGAAGGAAGAAAGGAACAACAACGGCAAAAAAATATGTGTTTTTCTAGCTTGCGTTTGCGTTTTGTAGATCCTACCGATAGATTGTTAAGTTCGTAAACTGTATCGAAACAGTATTCAACCGCGTTGTAACGTTTTCGAAAGCGTTTCGCTCGTTAATTTTACGTGGAACGATCGAAGTTACCCGTTTGAATGATGCTCATTATTTTCCTCTCTTTTTTCTCTCTCTCTCTTGCTCTCTCTCTCTCTCTCTCTCTCTCTCTCTCTCTCTCTCTCTCTCTGTCTTCCTGATTTCTTGTCATCAGTGCGTTTACTTTCTTTCTCCTTTTCTTTTTCTCACTTTTTCACTTTTTCTCTTTTTTTTTCTTTTTCTTTTTTTTTTATATCTTACGGCGAGACATAGTAGCGGCATTTAAACGTACAATTGGAGTCCTTCATTATTGTCCGTGAGGCTGTGGATTGTTTGAGAAACAATGGCGCGTCGCTTGAAAAACCGTGAATCCGTGCTTACACCTTGCCGTACACTTTTCGCACGTTATGATTTTATTATTGCATTTGTTATTCAGATTCATAGAAGAAAAAGAAGAGGAAGAAATATATATACGCACACATATATATGACACTGATATTTTGCATCCACGTTAGGTTAATTATTTCTCCTATTACTGATAATGATAAATATTGATTTTTAATATATATATATATATATATATATATATATATTAGGTTTTCAACCTATTAACCTGTTTATTGAACAGTATAGCCGTCAGTATGTTCGGAAAGAGATGACAATTTTTTGTATTATGACTCAATATACTTATTCTTGTCATGCGATAAATGTAATTATCTTCTGTTATTAAAATTGAAAATATTTTTTGAACACATAAAAATATTCGTGAATTTAAGAATACATTAGAAAATTTCTCTCTCTCTCTCTCTCTCTCTCTCTCTCTCTCTTTCTTGTTTCTTTTTCTTTTATTATTATTATTTTTCATGTTTCTTTTTTTTTTGGAGACAAATTTTACAGCTGCTTCATACACTCTACGTTTTACGAGTCTATTCTTTATCTCTTAATATTTTTCTACATAAAGTTAAATGCTATGCAGTTAACAGATAAATTTAACGAGGTATGAAAATTGAGAAGGAAAAAAATGATGAGATATTAACAGGTGGCATTCGATCGATTCTTTTTTTTTTCTTTTTTCTTTTTCTTTTTTTTTTTTTTTTTTTTAAAAAGAAAAGAAAAAAAAAGAAAAAACTCAAGCGATTCTTGATATTCCAATCAATTTTAACGCAATTTACAGACAGAAATCCTTGCAAGAAAGTAATCGTTAACGATAACGATACGCCATAAGTATCTTTTATAAAAATGTCAGAGTTTATATCGACGTTATAGAAGTATACGACGGTGAAGGTGACGGTGGTGGCTGTTGCGATGGTGGTGGTGGCAAAACGTTTGAAACTTCGAAACGTCCTACGCGACTTGATTTATCGCCTGAGCTCCTACACGGCCCCTAGTATTTTCTATGGAAGGTGGAGTCTAACGACGCGATATACGGACAACTATTTACGACGACCATTAGCGAAGTACCAAGCGAGAGGATTTAACTGCCGTCTCCGATAGTGAAAAATAAAACGATTTTTTAATCTTCCCCATTTATCGTAACCACGTTTATACCGATCGTTAGATTTGACCAACCTTTCCCATCTGTGTTTGTCTTTTCTTTTCTTGTCTGTCATCAAACGTATATACAAAGGGAAAAGAACGAGGAACGTCTTTCCTTTTTCTGTAATAGTCATTATCGATGGATCGTTATCGTATCGATTATGTCGTGCGCTTAGGAATATTATTATTTTAAACGTACCATCCGAGCGCCGTCGAGCTCTATTCTTCGTGTGGGTTATTTAAACGTGTTGAGAAGGGAAAAAAAGAAAAAAAGAAAAAAAAAAGAAATAACAGAGCAGGATAAACAATTTCCTCTTCTTTTCGTTTCTTTTCTCTTACGTTTTTTCTTTTTTTTTTTTTTTCTAAATAGCTCGAATTTAAGGTTCAACGCTCCCGCATTATAGATTATTCATGGAATTTTATTTAATATTTATTTTATCGAGGTCGACTACCGTTTGTCCTTTCTATTTTTTTTTTCTTCTTTTTCGACTCCTATAATAGAATAGAAAAAAATTTTCTCGTGCGAGAATTCTCGTTTTTTACGATTTTTTTCTACTCCTCTCTCTCTCTCTCTCTCTCTCTCTCTCTCTCTCTCTCTCTCTAAAATCAATGTAACATACAAATTGAAGATTTTGTACGAGTGCGTATATAAAATTGAAACGTTCATTTTGATTTGATTATCGAAAAAGAAGAAAGAAGACGTGCAGATTGAAAGAAATGTTTGGAGGCCATATAGAAACGATAAAATTATTTCGAATTGTAAGAAACTGTTTGCGTTTTTCCGTAAAAAAAGCACAGTGTTTTTAATTAATGATAAGACGAGACAAGAGGAAACAATATAATTCCTCTTCATAATAAAGCTTCTTTTCGGTATAAAAAATATTTTTTTTTTTTTTTCATTAGATCAAAGATTGAAACGATCTGACCTTAATGATTTGATATTAAAACTTTGTCAATCTATTTTCTATTAATATTATTATGTTGACAAATGAATCGTTTGGATATATTTACTATATTATAAATTTATCCATCGAAAGAATTTAAATCGGGATATTTTATTTTTACATCGAATAGAATTTATTAGAAATTGTTTGAAAAATTTAACAATCTTCGCAAAAATAATAATTCTGTTAGCGTCAATTTTTTTCGATGAGTTATATACATTCTGTCCGATCTAATTTTACTAGATTCTCCAATGACGTTAAACAAGCTTTGAATTTTACCTTCAAACGAGGTTATATATATATAAACATTTTTTTTTACATCGTATATTACATAAATTATATAAAGAACGACGACTTACGTTATTACTTTACTTTTCAAAATATTTTTAATAAAATCGACTTCATCCAAGATATATATAAATATAATATTTCGATGAAAAATCAACCAATGAATTTATCGGATAAATAATTCGATGATAACAAAAAAAAAAGAGGAGAAAAAATAAAAAAATCGAGGTAAAGCGACATGCATAGTAAGAGATATAAAGGTTGGTAGTCCGAAATAAATAGAAATTCTTAGTGTATTCCGTACAACCAAGCACGAGCATGCTCTTAGAAAGAAAGAGGAATAAAAGGATCCATGACAAAGGCCATTGTGCATTCGCTCGACGGGCAGTGTCATCCAGTAGCGAATGAGAGAGTAAAATTCCGAGGAAGGAAATAATAATCCCCGAGCGTGTGCAAAGCTTGCCGCCTTTGATGTTGCTATTGACGTTGCTATTATACGAGAGAGGATCGCCGATTATTACATACACCTACATACACACATACACACAAAGCCAAAGAGAGAGAGAGAGAGAGAGAGAGAGAGAGGAAAGAGAGAGAGAGAGAGAGAACACGTATTTTCCCACCATTTTCATCTTCGTTAGAGCGATTCGATGTTAGGGTACGTGTATGTATTAGGTGTAAGGTATATAGACGTAAGGTATATAGGTGTGTGTCGCGTTTAACAAAGAAGGAGCAAGTTCAATCCTTTTCCAATAGTTTTCTTCTTTCGAAAATTCATTTTCTCGTTAAATTGGAATCATTAAAACGAGATAATGCTTCCTTCTTGACTCGTGATCATTCTTATATGCCTACGTATTTACCTATCTACTTTTTTGTCCTGTTTATATGTGCTTTGAGCGTATGTACACCAATAAGTGTATATATATATATACATGTAAATTACGTACGTATGTATGTGTAACACACGCTCATACAACTCGTTGGTTCCTCGTCTCGAGCTGCAGGCAATAAACACTCACTTTTTCGCGAGCAAACAATGCAGTGACACGAGGCGAAAAATTAACGAGGCGCAGGCCAAATTCAAACTGAGTTCTGCTCTCTCCTTCTCCCTCCTTTTCTCTCTCTCTCTCTCTCTCTCTCTCATTCTTTTTCTCTTTCTCATGCACACTGTATTTCGTTCTCATTCCTCTTTATTTTGAAATCCCTCACCTCTCCACAAACTCTCCCACGTTTTTACCTCTTTTACCCCCTTCCAAATTCGTGGAAGCGTAAAACCGAGGGTGAACAAGTCACTCGCGAAATCCTTCGTCGATATCTCGTTCGTC